CTTTTAAAAAAAAAAAAAAAAAGAAAAAAAAAAAACTTTGGTCAGCGCTCGGGACTGGCGGCACGCTCACGCTCTGTGCGGAGATGGTTAATGAATCCGGTGTTTTTGCAGTTGCAAGCTTGTGCATTCACTGTGCAACGCTGACTGCAGGCTTTTGCAGTGGCGACAGCGCACCAAAGATATTAATTACACCGTCCCCTTTTTTTTCCACGAATGTTTGGCTATTGTAAGTGCGGACCTTTTTGTCTCCTTTCCCCCCTTTTCCTCGATAATATTTAATCTTTCTCTTCCTTCCAGCAGGGAGAACTTTGCGGGGCGGGGGAGGGGGTGCTCTCTGGACAGCTGGGCAACAAAGTTAGCGGTGGGAGTGGGGGCTGCGACCCGCTCCGCTCCGGGGGAACGAGGTGATATTACAGAAGAATACAGACGCGTTTATTTTTATTATTGTTATTATTTATTTATTTATTTTCTGAACAAGCAGCACAGCGGTTGACTTGTAAATCTCGGTGCCAGCAGCAGGGCGATCTGCCGGGATCCGCAGCGAGCCGGGCTGTGCTTAACAGCTGGCTGTGATTTTTAACCCCACTTTCTCACCGCCCGGAGGATTTCTTTGATTTTACTTTTACGTGCGGGGCTGCCTTTTGTGGTGGGAGGGGAGGGGGCCGCGGAGGGGGGAGCGGTTTTGCCTTGTTTGCCTTGGCTCTTTTTTTCTTTCTTTCTTTTTCTCGTTTCTTTCCTGCTTTCTGCTTCTTTTTTTTTCTCTCTCTCTCTTTTTTTTTTTTTTTTTTTTTTTTTTTTTTTTTTTTTTTTTTTTTTTAATCTGTGCTTATGTTTGAAGCCTGTCTGTGCCGAGGGCGGGGGACGCTTGGCTGCTGCTTCTATGCTGGGGGTGCCGGGCCGGACCGGGCCGTGCCGAGTGGCCGATGCTGCTGCCGGCCCCACACGGCTCCGGCTCCGTGCTCCGTGCTGCGGCGGGGAGAAGCCCGGCATTGTCTCCATCCGGCTGGCAATGCCCGCAAGCCTCCAGGATGCACATTTCCTCTCCTTCTCTCCTTGTTTTTGTCAGCGGTTCAGCGAGGAAGAATGCCGCCCACCCAGCCCAATCCCGGCCAGTACGCCCTGACCAACGGGGACCCCCTGAACGGGCACTGCTATCTCTCGGGATACATCTCCCTGCTGCTGCGGGCCGAGCCCTACCCCACCTCCCGCTACGGCAGCCAGTGCATGCAGCCCAACAACATCATGGGCATCGAGAACATCTGCGAGCTGGCCGCCCGCCTGCTCTTCAGCGCCGTCGAGTGGGCCCGCAACATCCCCTTCTTCCCCGACCTGCAGATCACCGACCAGGTGGCCCTGCTGCGGCTTACCTGGAGCGAGCTCTTCGTGCTGAACGCGGCTCAGTGCTCCATGCCGCTGCACGTGGCCCCGCTGCTGGCCGCCGCCGGCCTCCACGCCTCCCCCATGTCGGCCGACCGCGTCGTCGCCTTCATGGACCACATCCGCATCTTCCAGGAGCAGGTGGAGAAGCTGAAGGCGCTGCACGTCGACTCGGCCGAGTACAGCTGCCTCAAAGCCATCGTCCTCTTCACCTCAGGTGAGCGCTGGGAGCACCGGGGGGGGGGAAGAGGAGACGTGGGGGGTGGCGGTTCCCATGCGCGTGGGCTGGGAGCGGCACGGCCTGTCCCACTCTGTCCCCATAAACACTCACACGTATGGATATAAACACACGTATATATCCGTCACATTAGGCGGAGGCGGTGGAAACACGCGTGCACGCATGTTAACAATTTTTCCCGGTGATAGATGGTTCGAATTAACTGGCAGGAAAGTGCATTAACTGCGCCTTTGAAGTGCTCTGGTTGTAGCCTATAAGAATATAATACATCTTCTATTATTATAACCTGCGAGGGGGAAATTTATAAACATCAAAGGCAAGCGATGCGAGGGAAATGTAGGAAATAGGAGCAAAGAGAGATAAGGGGCCTCGCAGTGTCATTTTTTAATCATTATTCTAATTATCACCACGATGGGGCTAATTGCCACTTTCTCCACTTGTTTGTTTTCCTTTTTCTCCTCTCCCCATATTCTCTCCTTTCTGCCCGGTTTGCTGTTGCGGGTTCAGTTGTGGTGCTGCTGTTGTTGTGTTTAACCTTGTCTCCCCACTCAGTGATGCCCAAAGAGTCTCAATAAATCTGACTTAAAACCAGGGCCGACGCAAAATTAAAAGCATTCCTGAACAAAGATGGCAAATCGTTCAGAGCCTGGTTTAACAGTAAGCAGTTTATAATCCATCAATATCAGTTGCCTCCCATGCATGAAAAATAGTATTTACATTGTATTAAAATGACTCCTAAATTTGCACAATATTGTAATGTAGCAAACGCAGTATTAATATCGATTTGAACATCGGATAATTTATTTAGACAGGAGCACCTAATTTGTATGCAGGGTGGTCGGAGCCGTGTACTGTGACTGCCCCCTTCTCCTTCCCGTGCAAATGCAGGCACTCCACATAGGAGGGAATGTTTCTTTGCAGAGGATCAAGTGCAGATCTTAAAACAAATGGAAGATGTACCGAATAGCCAGCGCCACATTTTAATGCATTTTATCTTAATAAATCTTCCTGATGGAAACACGTTTTTCAGAAGTGACAAGAGATCTGGCTGCATTTATCAGGCGGGTGCAGTGCACTGCAGCCCTGCGCTCCCCACCCCATCCATATCTGGGTCTCATCAGTAAGTGGGGCCGAGTTGAGAGAGCCCGTCCCTTCTCCGGGACCCCACTCGGAGGGGTTACACCCTGCAGAGAGGGGTTGCCCTGCACCCCCTTCACAAAGGCTCTGGGGAGGAGATTGCCCCACATGAGGACATTTGAGGATTTTTTTTTCCTTTGGCTTCGTTTTAGCTTTGCTTTTGATTTTATTAGTGTTATTGTTATTATTTCTCTCTCTCTCTCTCTCTCTCCACCCCCAGCCCCTTCTGCTCTCAAATGTCCGACCTTGGCTGGAGAGGCAGCCAGGGGCTTCAGATGAGCCCCTCATTTACATATATTAAAAACAATCATAATAATTAAATGTTTACGGGAAGAGAAGTCCCTTCCCTCGATGGAGCAGAGCATGAATGGGGGTTGGAGGGAGAATAATATTATTTTGGAGCAGAATCACACGGGGCACCTCGGAAAATGGAAATACAGCTGTCAGGAGTAATCCACCCCTTACCCCCATCCACACATTTCCACTTTTCACTAAACTTGTTTTGATTGCTTAGCCAGAGGGGAATTCATGGGAAGCCTTGCTCAAAGTCATCCAACTTTTAAACAAACTTTGACTGATGGAAAAGATATTTTTAGGTATATTGTCCTAAGTCCTGAGGACTTAGCATTTGAAGCTGGTGTGGGTTCCTCCTGTTGTGGTTTTTACATTTGGGCACTGGATAGTATATCTAATGTGTAAAATTCTGGACGCCATCCAACAGCTGGGTCGTGACCCAAAACCTGCTGCTTTTCTTTATTTGTTATTTATTTATTTCCCCTTTTCCTTATTCCCACTTACTAATTCCTGCACCTTTTTTCCTCCCCATAAATAAGCGTTTCCAGGAAGGGATCGGGCTAAATAACACAAATCCAATAAATCTATTTGCAGCACAATAAGAACTTTGATTTCTAGTTAGATGCCGGCTGATTACATCTATATTTCCCAAGCACTAAACTCTTCTGAAGGCATAACGTGAAATACATTCCCAGCAGTACAAAGGGAAAGGCAGGAGTGTGCTGAGCAGTAATGGTTATTTATTTACATAATTTCTTTTCCATAGACTGGAGGAAGAAATATAGCACTTTTCTGTATTGACAGTCCACCGTATGAGAAAGTGAGGAGCGCAGAATTTCCACATTAGCCCACTTTCTGCGATGGGGTAATAATTCACCTCCAGTAAACGTGGGCTGTGTTGTTTCTCCCATAGACTGCACCTCCCTGGGCTCAGCAAGCTACGTACCTCTTAATTATTATTATTTTTAATCCCCTCCTAAAGGGAGAGTTAAGCCTCCCCACTGCCACCTTGAAGGATGTGATATACAACCCCAACAAATGCATCTGCCAGAACATTTGAAATAACCACAGCTGCAGGGGTGCCCTCGACACGAGTACACCCCACACGGGTTTGGAGGTGAAACTCAAATCCAGCCCTAGCTGCACCCTGCAGCAGCACCGTCCCCGTCCCTAGCGCCACTGACCTGTGGTATAGGTGGACCTGATTAATATTTTACTAACCTTAAGGGTATGACATATGGGGCATAAAGAGAGAGCCCTGCTAGGGTGTCAGTGAGACCCTTTCATATCGCATTGTTTGGAAGTTGAATAGGATCCTAGTGCATAATGGGCAGATAATGCATGTAAAATAGCAAGATATATGTAAATATGGAGTGTGATTTGTGGCAATCAACATATGAACAGGCCTGTGGTTTTGATATATGTTGCAAACAAGAACAGGCCCAAGCGTTTGATATATATATATTCTGCAACCTGGTGCTTTAGATGTGGGAAAATATCACTGCATTAAAGGTACAGTATGGATTAGCAGTGCAGCCTGGCTCAGATAATTGTACATCTGAGGGACACCAGGTCCGAGGCACGGGTCAAAGGTGCCCTCTTCAGAAGTTCCTGAATTATTTGTGTTTTATTTGTATTTTCGCTCGAGGCCACAGCATTGTAGATGAAGGTGTTCAGAAATCCGTGTGAGGCCACTTCTTGATAAGGGCAGGCACAAACTTCAAATATCCCGTTGCTGGAGATTTTTTTTTCCTTTTTTTTTCCCCCTCTTTTCTTTTCCCCCCGCTTTGAATAATTTGTTGTGTCTTTCCAGGGTCATAATTCCGCATTCACAATTTTGTAGTGTCCTTTTGGGGGCCATTAACATTCATTAATTCATATACAGATCTATATATTAGCAAAGTCTGCCTTTGATCTGCGCTAAACCGCGCTGCCAGCTGACTGCCTCCCTCTGATCCTGATGTGTTGTTGGGCTTTTTCCTTTTCTTTTTTTTCTTTCCCTTCCCCCCCCTCCACCCTCCCGCCACCCCACCATATATATGTATTTATTATTAATCGGTGAAACAATGTGGATGTCGGAGGCGCTCCCCTTCCGCAGCGGCACCACCGCCGCCGCGCTGGGCTCTGTGTGATCGGGGGTGCAGCGCAGGGCCGCGCGGGGCCAAGGTGGAGCTGTGACCGCGGGCTGCGCGGGGTCAGGGCCCGCCCGGCTTTGTGTGCCGGAGATCCGTGGGTCCCCGCGGGCCGGGCGCGGGGCGCAGTGCCCGGGGCGGGGCGGGAGGCTCAGCGCGGCATCCCCCGGCCTCGGCCTTCCCTTGCGGCTGATGCGCAGCCATGTCGGCAAACTCGCTCCGTGTGCGCGTGTGTGTGTGCCTGCGCGCGGCGGCAGCTCTCGTTCTGCTACCCCCCCTCACCTCCCCTCATAATTTTCGCTCCCGTCCGCCCCTCTCCCGCCGCCGCTATTTACCGGGGACGAGCTCGAAAGGGGCTCCGAGATGGGGGAGGTCTGTCACACACAGTGGGGTGAGGGACGGGGGGGGGGGGGGGGGGGGGGGGGGGGCGACAGGTCGCGGCCCCCCATACATCCGCGGGTGCGGTGTTTATTATGGGGGAGGGGGAGAAGTGTACTGAGTGGGGGGGCTGCGCGCAGCCTTGCGGTCCATCCGCCGCCACTAACCGCTTCCCTTCCTCCCCCCTCTCCTCCTCTCCCTTCCGCACCCCCGGCCGCCTTTCCGCGGGCGCGCTGCGGCCCGGGCAGACGCCTGCGGGCTGTCGGATGCAGCGCACATCGAGAGCCTGCAGGAGAAATCGCAGTGCGCGCTGGAGGAGTACGTACGGAGCCAGTACCCCAACCAACCCAGCCGCTTCGGCAAGCTGCTGCTGCGGCTGCCATCCCTGCGCACCGTTTCCTCCTCCGTCATCGAGCAGCTCTTCTTCGTCCGCTTGGTAGGTAAAACCCCCATCGAGACCCTCATCAGGGATATGCTACTGTCGGGGAGCAGCTTCAACTGGCCTTACATGTCCATCCAGTGCTCCTAGAGCCCGGCCGCAGCCCGGCGGGGACGCTGCGCGGCGGCGGAGGCGGGGGCGCGCGCACCGAGGGGCGGTCGGGGCGCGGGGGGGGCCCGGGAGGCGGACACTGAACAAAAGAACGGCGCAAGTGGGAGCAGAGGTGTGGCCGCGTTGGGGAGAGGGACGGACCTCGCGTCCGTGCGGGTCGTGGTGTTGCGGTTGGTCTTCGGTTTGGTTGGGTTCCGGTTATTATTATTATTTTTTTTATATATATTTTTTTCCGTTTTTTTTTTTTTCTTTCGGAGAGGAGGAAAAAAAAAAAAAAAAAAGATAATAATAATAATAATAAAAGACAAAAAGGCAAAAAAAAAATTAAAAAATACAAAAAAAATAAAAATATGAGTATTGAGGGGATATTAATCACACCTGAAGGGGATACTGGAGCTTCCAGGATTTATTGTGGACTGTTGTTGATATATGCTGTACAGTAACAAACAAAACAAATCGCGTTGAAGCCGAACTGAACCTTGTTTAGAACGAGCAACAAACCAACGAGCGAACAAACCGACAAACAATTCCACGCGCAAACACTTACCACGAGCATTGTTACTCATTTTGTAAAATATTAGTCTTTATTTTCATTTTTTGTAAAACTTAAGACATCGTATGCGCAGAAAGAAAGAAAGAAAGAAAGAAAGAAAGAAAGAAAGAAAGAAAGAAAGAAAGAAAGAAAGAAAGAAAGAAAGAAGAATTAGGGGAAAATAACATTTTCCAAATAATTATAAAAAAAAAAAATTGTCCTGTGTCTATGTATCTATATCTGTTTTGTATTTTTTTCTGGTTCCAAACCAGGTTTCCTGTGATTCTATACTAATAATTTTTGATATAACCCTTTGCTTCTTATAATGAGTGCGATATATGTTGTCGAAGCTGTTCTTCAAGAATTAAAATTGAAGTGAGAATTTAAACAAAAATAAAAGAATTTAGAAAAAAAAAAAAAGAAAAAAGAAAAAAGAGAAAAAAAAAAAAAACAAAAAAAACCCACCAACTACTTATCACCCCACGAGTCTTGTTGCTTGAAACATGCCAACAGTTCACCAAAAAGAGAGAAAAATAATAATAATAATAACCAAAACCACTAGAGCTGCCTGGACCTTTATCTCCTGTGTCGGCCCTACAGGAGAGGATCGAGGCCCACGCACGTGTCCAGTGTGGGACAGCCCGGCCGGAGCACAACACCGCGCTGCCTCCTGCGGGACCGCGGGATGGGGCGCAAAGTGGCCGCGGCTGCTGCACCAGTCGCACAGACACGGTCCTTTTTCGTCTTTTTTTTTAATATTGTTTTTTATATTGCTGCTTTTATGTCTTTTTTTTTCCCTCTTTTTC